GCCGCTTGGAGGTGGTTAAGATTTTTAAAGTTAAATAAATGTAAGTAAAAATAATTTATTCAATTTATAAATAAATAACAAATTTGAAAATCTAATTGCTTTGCAAAAAAACATTTAGGAAGAAATATAAAAACAAAGAAATTAAACAAAAATATTTTTTTATTAAATTAAAAAATTACAATAAACAGCATAAACAAAAAAATAAATTTATAAAAAATAAAAATAAAATAAAAAATAGAAAATAAAAAAATTTTACCTGCGCCAGGATTTGAACCTGGGACCTCAGGCTTACCACGCGAGTGCTCTTCTCTGTCGGCCATGGTGACTGCTGGCGCGTCGCGAGCAAAAAGGCACACTTATGCTTTTCACGGGGCATGAATTGGCAGACTATCTCATCAACTGGTATGATGCTACTAGTATTTATACTAGTAGATGCTGATGCATAGCCTGAAAATTGACATCTCGTAGGACATCGCAATGTTAAAAATACCAGTCGCTAACATTGAAAAAGGATAGAACGTGAACTAGTTCGGCTGAAACGCAAACCGTTAGAATTCTAGTTCACAACTAGTAGCTTTCCCTGCAGGGTTTGGACTGCTTACCACTACACCACAGCGGCTGTTCGTATATGGGTGAAACATGTGTGGGGTCACAGAGCGCTCAGTAAAGGCCCGTCCACATAGATCTTTGGCGTTGCGTTGGCGTTGGCGTCTCTTCAACAGCTGACTATGAATACATGAATTCAAATGCAGCCGTCCACATAGCCAAAATTAAACAACGCTCACGCCAACACAAAGCAAAAAGATGGCCAACTCTCAACTTTTCGCGTGCGTCGCTCATCAGCTGTTGCAAATAAATAAAATTATGTGAAATATTATTCCTTTTTATTCAAGTGCGGGCAAGAAATATCGTTTTTAACGCAATTATTGATATGAAATATTAATTTATCTGTCGTTAGTATGCTAATTTAGTGTCCCAAGCATTCGCTGCCAAGCGTTAATTGTAGCAAGCACACTTTAAACGTGCGTTCTGTCAAACCAACGCCAACGCCAAAGCCAAGGCGAAAGTTCTATGTGGACCGGCCTTAAGCTAAAACTATGTTCCCATTGGCGTAATTTAGAGGTCAATCTTAAATTAAATTAAGTACAAACTAAGTAATTTCGCCTTGTAAAGTCTCTCAGTAAATTAAGTTGAAAGTACGTAGTTTATCTTAAAGCAAGAACCAAATCACGAACAAATCAGTGTCGGCTCTAATTTTATCGATAATAATCGAAAAAAGTATTGTCCCATAACTGATAGGTCATTGTGTTTGGACGTTCTTGTTTTTAATAATCGCGCGTGGTAGTTCGTAAAATATTTCCAGAAGCTTTCTCTTTTGATCACTCATCTAAAATCTAAAAAATTACCACAAACAACTCAGAATATAAAAATATACGCAATTTACTCACATTCGCGATCTCTTTTGGTTAAATAAACAATAACACAGGGTTGCTACAAAGCTGTCAAGACAAATAAAGAATCGCGTGTATGAACGCACTTAATTTAGTGAGGTATTTTAAACGAAACTAAGTATTTTATGTTGGTAATGTGAACATAGTTTAAGGCACGTCGATCACTGCGCTAGGTAGAGAAAGAAAAGTGTGTGCTATGGCATGCCCAAACTTGTTTGTCTCAGTTTCAGTTTTGCCATCGCCGCGAGTTGTTTCGGTGTGCGCATAGTTATTTAAAAATATAAAGTTTGATGCCAACCAGGGTTTCTCAGTGGCTATATAATTCACGTGAATTATAATTTGAAAGTGTCTATTTAGCCAAGGAAAAAGCATAGCAGTATACTTAACCCTTAATTAGGCGCATAAGGAAAATCACACAATTAGTTTCATGGAGTCCCCAGGGACCCCAATAAAAGTGTTAAAAAAAGAGTTTTCAAAATAAAAAAAACGAAGTGTGTATTTACAAAAATATTAAAGTACTCGATTATCGTTAACTTAAAAAAAGAAAGACATAATTTTGACTTCAAACTTAAAAAAAAAAACATTAAAAACTTACCTCCGCCAAAACATGTTACAGGGGTAGTCGCATGGGGTCAGCACTCAAGCGAGTAGCGACACATGTGTACACGACGATGTTCTAACCATGATACAAAAAAGAAGGTAGTTCCATTGTCACTTTTTCGTCGCCATATTAACAACCTGACAATTAAGTAGATTGTGACATTTCGTGTTACCATACCCACTATCTAAAACCCCCCAAATTTTGTTATGAATTTTTTGGTTATTTACAAATATTTTGTTCTTAGAATCGAAATTTGAAGAAGCAAAAGGTATATTGTTGGGTACGGCTCGGTTACTTGTACAATAATTTTCGGTTAATGTGTCCAAATGCTTAACCCAAAGCAAAAAATTAGTTTAAAATATAGATTTCTAACATTCAGATACAAATTTATTACTAAATTCGGTTTGAAATATGGACCTTTATTTTAAAAAATACTGGATCAGCGTAGCCGTAGTTGGACTTACATTTTCTCTGTCAAAATGCTAATTTTACCCAATTATTTAGTGGGTCCGTCTCCGCTTGCCACCCCAAAACCATTGAACAAATAACCCCTTTTGTTTTTGAAAGCGAAGAGGTCTAGTGCGCAAGAAGTTGATAGTTGTGTTTCTAATTTTCATACTAACAATGAATCATTAATCTTGTTTCACAACCCCCTCCAATATTTAACAGTAAAATATATTTGTTTTTACCCACAGAGACAACGATATTGTCGAAGTATACTAGAATTAGATAATACTCACTTCTCTGAAAGTCATGAGGCCCATGGGTCGCAAAGTAAATTCCGTTTTCAAGTTACTTGAAAGACATGGACAAAGACAATATCGAAATTCTAATTTCATTATCTGAAATATATCAGAAATAAACGTATCCGATAGAGAAAACTGTAATAGTCCTGGCCATGGACATTGTGAAATAATAATTTTAAAATATGTTCACTAAAATTTTATTAATGCAAAAATAAAGATTTTGGCAAGTAGTTATCGAATTTAATGTAAAATGTAAACTTTTTTAGGAAAAGATATTAATTATTTTTAAAAGGTAAATGTTAACACAACTATTTTATTTATACTCCCAAATTTAGGATATAAAATCCCCTCTTTTCCAAAAAACTTAATTGAGTAACGCCGCATCGAATTTTTTACAATTGAGCAACTGTCAAAAATCTCCCTTTTAATCAAAAAGTTGTTTATTGAAACTACCTTCTTTTTTGTATCATGGTTCCAACCGTGACTAAATAAATAAAACGAAATGTATATTGTCATAAATATTAAAGCTCTTTATTATAGTTAACTTTAAGAAAGAAAAGCATAACCTTGACTTCAAACTTAGATACAAAAATAAAAACTTAACTCTATCAAAAAATGTTATATAAGTGGTCGCATGGGGGCAGGGCTTAAGAAAGTAGCGACAAATGTGTACACACCGATGTTCTGGCCATGACTTATTTACGTACTCCGTGGGGAGTTAGGAAGCTAGACAGAGCGCGAACACGCTCCAAGCACTCCAAGACATTTTTTTTCAACTTGAAATGGCCTTGTACCCATGCGCCTAATTAGGGGTGAAACCAGCACTTCCAGCAGATATTGACCTGGGTTTTCGCACGAGTGTTCCTGTTTCATCGTTTCTTTTTAGGAAATTCTTACCACCATATACATATCTATGTATTATTTACACTAGTAACTATTTATGTAAATATGTATGTATTTTTTATGCTTAGTATAAGTAAATACAAGAAGAGCGCAAACACAACAACCATCGATTAAATTTTTAGTTGTATCAAACTGAAACTTTTTTTCCAATAATAAACGGTTAGTTGATACAAGTCTACAGCAAGTTCACAAAATTAATTGAAAACTTGTATCAACCAAAGTATTAAGGGTATTCAGACTATCCTCGTTAATGTATTAATTCGTTATCTGGTAGCTGGTAACACTTTCAACTACGAACGCCCCTTATTCTTTTTCTGGTTAAAATTACTTTCGAATCAGCTGACGTAAAGTTTTTTTATTTATAAACATTTATTAATTCCACGACAGAAAGGTTTATTGAACTTTTGATAAAATATATACATTTTTCGCGCGAGAAAATTCCAGAAAATTAGTGACAGAAAGAAATCAGCTAACATTTTAACGCGTGTGTTACCACATTACCAGACTTGTCACCTCGTTAAGTTGTGATTGATTTATTCAGTAATTTACAAAAACAAAACAATGGCGGGAGTTACCGAATACCGAATTAAGACCTTAACGAGTATAGTCTGAATAGCCTAAATGTTTATATGTATTTGCTCAACAATGATTTTATTCAACTAACAATATTGTCCAATCAAGGTAGTCGTTTTCTAATTATTAACAAATATACATTTGCCCTAACTAGAAGTCTTAAGTAAATTGCAGACTTTCGTGAACTAGATATTTATTTCGCCATATCCAACTATGCCACTTGGTCACTATAACCAAATCTTGGTAATTATAACTAAACCTTTTTCTGGGTGTATGTAGTTCGGAACTTTTGCGGAATACGCAGTAAACTGCCCGTATCAGCATACAGATGTTTCTTAACCATTGTGAATTGCAGGTACCGATACTAATTTTCCGCATTACTAATTAGATACAATTAAATTTGATTTTAAAAATACAAAAAAAATCTGAACTAGATTTTTAAATTGAATCTTCTATAATCGAAAGGCGGATCCCGGCACATCCCTAGTAAAAATCAAATGTTGGTCACTATGTTAAAAATACATTTTTCGGACATCCACTCGTTATTATCCACCTTCGCAACAGTTTATGAAAATTTCGTTGTTTGCGATTTCTTCATTAACGTGATTTTTGCTTGCGGAAACAAGGTAAACTTCCAGCGAAACTCCTATTTCATTCAAAACCTTTTTTCACTGATAAAGTTTTTGCCTTGTGGCAGGAACGGCGAAAATTTTGCGAAGAACTTACCTGGAAACGTAGCATCAGGAACATAACAACAAAAACCAGAGTCAAACACATCCCAATGACAGGAAAACTGACAAGATAACGAAAAGTACGTCGCTTCCACGCCGGCGCCTCCTTTGGTTCCACACGCCCAGTTACATTATTTTCCATTAAAGTACCCTGAAACACGAAAAAAGTATTACATGAATTGAAAGCTATCTGAAATGGTAAATACGAAACAATTCTTCCAAGATCAAAAACGCATTAGAAGAAGCGTACAACCTTCCTCAGACAGAGCGTTTCCAACACAATTCTATGCTTACTTTAGCCAGTGAAAGAATACTTTTTAATACTGACCTCGCTATGACGAATATTGTTTTTTTTTACTTTTTAGGGCCGTTTTCTAATGTAAGCAGTAAAGTTGCCTTTACTAACAGGGCGGATAAATTGTTCCTCACTTTAAAGTGTTTTCGTTTTCTTATCTTACCGGTAAAAATTAATTTTTTATTCCGTAGAGTGAAACTTGACTACATTCGTCATAAAATTTCAAAGGTTGGCAATGCAACATAAGCAAATATAAAGCAAGAGCAACTGTTAGCAAAAACCAAAACCTTGGTTGAAATATCTAATATATCTGACTCATAAACCAAAACCAAACCAAAATTTAAAGTTGGGTACAAATTTTTAAAGGTTGCATCGGGTGAGCAACAATTTATCGATTCGAGAAATTAATGCGCTGATGAGAAAACGAAAACTCGTATATCGAGACGGTAAAGTGGCCGGTAATCTAAAGGTTAGATGAGAAAACGGCCCTTACAGTTTTAGATAAGTGGTGGGCACACTAAGCCTAGTGAGAAAATGGAAAAATTGATGATTACGATTGAACGAAAACATACGCGAATGGCTAATGTACATCCGAATATGTAAAACTGAATTACTCATATCTGCGAATTATTGCATTCGCAGGAGATCGAATGGGTTTTGTGTAGCTATAAAGCCACTTGCACAAAAATTGTATAACAAATTTAGGTATGTGCATTAGCGCGGGTCAATTTGTATGGGATATTTTTTCGACACGCGAATTACACAGAAGGATTCTACATGTAATTCTAAGAAAATTTTCCGGAGAAACCATGGGTTTAAAATCAATTTGGAGTTTGCCAAATTGCGAAAATAGGTGTCTTAGCATTTTGCTGTAGTGTCGTAAAGAAACACATGCTATAATGGGTTGTTTGGTATAAGAATCTATTTCTGCACTCTTCTTTTTCTTAAAACTTCCGCCAGAGGGCGCCACACTGAAAATTTTAAAATTTTCTTTGAAATTTTTTTCGCAATTTGGTTTCTTCGGCAAATTTGCTTAGAATTACAAGTAGGATCCTACACATGATGTGTGAATGATTTTGGCTCACGTTCACGCACGCTCACGTTGATGATTTTGTAAATCACGCACACTCACCATCTGTTATTTTTATACCCGAGCGCACTTGTGCACAAGGGTATTATAACTTTGTTCACATAACGGTTGTTTGTAACAGGCAAAACGAATCGAGATAGATATAGACAAATGTATACATAAATGATCAGAATGAAAAGAGAAATCGATTAAGCGGTGACTGTCTGTCCGTCCGTCCGTCTGTGCACACGATAACTCGAGTAAAAATTTAGATATCTTAACGAAACTTGGTACGTCAACTTCTTTTGGGCGTAGGACGGACGGTATTAAAAATGGGCGAAATCGGACAATAACCACGCCTACCTCCCATATAACGGTAATTTTCAGAAATACGAAAACTGCGATATTTTAGTAACTACTGAAGATAATTCACTCAAAATTGACATTTACAATAATCTTCAGACGAAAAATAAGAATATTATAAATTTTTGGAAAATGGGCGTAGCCACGCCCACTTACATGTGTATATCTTGGTAACAGCTGCACCAATTTCTTCCAAACTTGGCACAGTTGTTGGCCTTAGTACAGCATACTAAATGGCCGAAAATTTAAAAAATCGGACAATAACCACGCCTACCTCCCATATAACGGTAATTTTCAGAAATACAAAAACTGCGATATTTTAGTAACTACTGAAGATAATTCACTCAAAATTGATATTTACAATGAGTTTCAGACGGAAAACATGAATATTATAAATTTATGGAAATGGGCATTATACTAGATGGCCGAAAATTTTAAAAATCGGACAATAACCACGCCTACCTCCCATATAACGGTAATTTTCAGAAATACGAAAACTGCGATATTTTAGTAACCACTGAAGATAATTCACTCAAAATTGATATTTACAATGAGTTTTAGACGAAAAATAAGAATATAAAAAAATTTTGGCAAATGGGCGTAGCCATTACACCTGTCTATATCTTGGTAACCGCTACACCAATTTCTTCCAAACTTGGCACAGTTGTTGGTACAGCATACCAAATGGCCGAAAATTTTTAAAATCGGACAATAACCACGCCCACATCCCATATAACGGTAATTTCGAGAAATACAAAATCTTCGATAAATCAGTAAATATTAAAGCTAATTTATTCAAAATTGATGGTTGCAACAATTTTTTACCAAGAAATACGTTTATGATAAAATTTTGGAAAATGGGCGTGGCACCGCCCACTTGTGATCACATATATGTATCTCGTTAACCGTTCTAGCAATTTGTACCAAACTCGGTATGGTTATTGTGCTTGCCACATATAAGCAAACCGTTCAAAATTGTTGAAATAGGTCTAAAATTACGGCCGCTTTTCATATAAAGGTAAATTCAGAAATGCTTGAAATTTCAGTATTTCGAAATTTAAGGACGCTAATTTAATTAAAATGTATACACCCCGGCTTATCATGTAGCGGTAGCTTTCGGAAAGGTGGAAAACATATATTTAATACTTGCGCCGGGTATTTAATGTTCGGCTCCGCCCGAACTTAGACTTTCTTACTTGTTTTTTTTTGCCATATATACGTTTTATAGGTAGACTTGCAAAATATTCGCATTCGCAAAAGCTCCGCATCGATTATTGCGAATGCGAATGTTAAAATTTATGCGGAAGTTCCGCGGTTGCAAATGCGATTATTCGCAACAACCCTGGTATAGAGTATGAAAATATCGGTTTGTATGGGAGGTGCGACGCACCTTTTTCTAATAGCCCCAATTTTTCTTCATGACTATGTGATTGATTTCATATATCTCCATACCAAGTTCCAGTACTCTACCATGAACACTTTCAGAGATATGCAGTATGAAAAATGCGGTTTGTATGGGAGGTGCCACGCCCCCTTTTCAAATAACCGCAATTTTCTCCATGAGTATGCGATTGTTTTCATATATCTCCATTCCATGTTCGAGTACTCTACCATGAACACTTCCAGAGATATGCAGTATGAAAAACTCTGTTTGTATAGGACAGTGTTGCCACTTTGTGAGTAATTCCCCAAAACGTGAGGAATTTCGGGAGCGCTTGAGTATTTTTTGAGGTTTTTTGTTTTGAGGAATTATCTCTCGATATATTTGCATATAACAAATGCAACCATGTTTTACACAAGAGAGTTGTTAAATCGCTCTGCAAATTTTTGAACAAAAAACTTTCCGAAGTTTTATAAAGACCGGAATACACCACACAAGCGGCTTGTCAAACATTTTTCAATCCTACTTTTCCCATTTTGCCAAACACCATGCAAACATGACTCGTTCAAGCAAAGAATTTTAGTTTTCTTCCGGTTCACAATGTAAAAGGGTTTGGTTTTCTTCGATTTTTCTATCTTGCGTCCTCATTCGGTAAAAATTCCGTTGCGAATGAGGCGATTTTATCATACACAACGTAAGCGGTTTATCAAACGTCAACATGGCGGCCAGCAAGTCAAAAAAATTTGATTTTTGCTCACATTTTCCTCAAATGGTTTGTCAAACCTTCAAAAACCCCCATACACAACATAAATAGCTTTAGGCAAAGGGATATTTCGCTTGGTTTGTCAAGCCGCGCGTGTGGTGTTTTTCGCTCTTAAGCATATCTGCATTTGTTGCTAAATATTCAAAATGTTATCGATAATTTTTCTCATTCCATCTGTATATTTTCAACTTATTTTGAACTTGCAAAATCTCGATAACGAATTGTTCGATCATAAGGATATTAATATTGATTTTTCATTAGATCAAGAAAATTATAGGAAAAAAGTTTTTGAATTGAAAGATTCTTCAGGTTCATATAAGTTTCCCAATTAAAAAAATTATATCTGCATTACTAATATAGCCCTTTTCTAATGCTTCAGTAGAATGTATATTAAGTAGCTTAAAAATGTGTAGGACTGACTTGAGGACCACACTGAGCACTGATATAGTTGCAGAAATATTATATACAAACCAAGGCATAAAACATAACGGTGCTACTTTGTTTGAACCGCAAGAACAAACGTAGCAATTGTATTGGGGAATGTAATTAATTTTTATGCTAAGTACCTGTAAGTAGTAAATAAGAAAGTTTTCAGAAATTTGTTCGGATTTTGAGGATTTTTCATTTGCTTTTGAGGAATTTGGTAATTTTTTTGTGGTAACACTGGTATGGGAGGTGCCAAGCCCCCTTTTCCAATAACCACAATTTTTCTCAATGAGTATGCGACTGTTTTCATATATCTCCATACCATGTTCGAGTACTCTACCATGAACACTTCAAGAGATATGCAATATGAAAAATTCCGTTTGTATGGAAGTTGCCACGCCCCCTGCAGCTGGCAGTATGAAATCACAGCGTACGGCAGTGCGTGCGAGTGACGAAAGCAGCCACAGTAGCATGCTGAAATGGCTCGCTTTATACAGGGTGTCCCAGAAGTAACCTGCCAAACTTTAGGCGAAGGTAGGTGGGGGGTGAGCTCTCTGATAAACAAAAAATTTTCAGGTAAAAGTGTTACCGTTTTTAAAATATTTAAATTTTTTTAATTAAAAAAAATCGTGCCTTTTCATGTATTTTCTTTAACTGCATTTACAAACCAGGCTATACTTAGTAAATTTTTTATGTAAAATACTTCCAGATAGTTGCTTCTCCATACTCAAATGCAATGTAGTTAAAATATATTAAGGAACCATCATAAAATTAGGACTATTTTGGGATTTTTAACTTTTTGATATTTTCTTCCCCAAATTTGACTATCTCTGGTGAAAAAAATGTATTTTACA